GACCCGTGGGATCGAGAACAGACGAGAGAGTGGCAGCGCAAGATGCGCGACCTACCTCGAGAACCCGAACCGGAACGCGAACGCGAACGAGAGAGGGAGAGGGATCGGCCGTTGTCCACACCGTTTACGATGCAGCCTTTTGCGGGTATGTCCGGGCCGTCTGACCTCGAGATGAGTGCTACCGGGTCAAGGCCGCTTAGTCGAAACGTTGAGCGGTGATGAGTGTGCTGAACATTTTCGGTTTGTGTCTTTAATGTGCTGCTTTACTTTATCTTGCTCTTGTTTATGTCTTGCTGTATATGTTCACTGGGATCGTGTAGCCAAAATATAGCCTATTGACAGTTCATGTCTGGGAGTAGGAGCAAGTATTTCGAGAAACAGGTTTTTAGTCAGCAGAGTAGTGTGATGTCGCTTACGTAAAGGCGCCAAGCGCTTCGTGTTGCCCCCTGCATATAGTGCTGAGGGGACATTGTGTAGCTCAGCGTCGCCTCAAGCAGGTGGAGTCATTACACGCTTTCGAGGAGCATGTGTGCCGAGTTTGGTTGTTTTAATGGACATAGTACTTACTCTAGACTTAGAATAATCCACATACCTGACTTGTAGCATCGGTAGGGCAAATACACCCGAGGCCAAAAGACTTAGCTTGGGGACATATACCACCTTGAGCGGCACGTACCTGAAATATCGGGGTGAACCTGCTATTTCTTGACGACCACCCCCAATACTTGAGCGCTCATTGAAATCAAGCTTCATTTCAGACAAACCAAAGTCCGCTATGCAAGCCTGAAGGCTGTCGGATACTAGTACGTTTGCCGGCTTGAGATCCCCATGGGTAATTTTGCGCTGGATAGGGAGCAAATGAGGTTAGTATCTATGACCGAATTTCGAATATTACAACTCACACCATGCAAATACTGCATCCCAAGAGCGATCTCATGCAGCTGAACGGGTTGCAAGTTATGTCTATCCGATCACATAATCGTGAACTTCGTACCAATTCCCCCCGCTCTCGACCAGGTGCCTCTGTTTTTGCGATGTGCTGGTTGATGTTACCATGCTGAAAAAGCTGCGTGGCAAAGTACAAAGGCCTTGATTCGACTGAGGAAGCCCCGAAGAGTTGCAGTACATGCGGGTGACGAAGTCCAAGCCAACTTAAGCTTGACTTGCTTCATAAAAATCTGCCAAATGTAGCGACGAAGAGTGAGCAATATACTAAAGAGCAAGAACGCAATGTCTCCCACTTGTTCTGAAGTCTCCTCTGCCAGCCGCTTTATAGCAACATTAGCTCCCTCCCACACGCCGCGGTAGACTGTACCAAAGCCGCAGGTTCCCAATGGTCGACCTTCCGCTACCGTAATTTGTGTTGGGTAAATGACCCAATGAGGCTGCA